GATTGTCTATTTACTCCTTATATTATACCTCTCTGTATGTATGAATGTCTCATGTATTAAGATTAACTATCTTATAAGACAGGCCACGCCTGATTAATGCAAAAGAAATATGTAATATACAAACGTGCAATGACGCTTTTTGTTAAGTGTTTGTTTGCCAGGCTTTCCCAGACGAGTTTGCCCATTCAGCACATTTTAGCAATTAAAAATAACATCATCTTTGCGACACTATGTTCATGTAAGTGTAGGGACACATATAATTTAAAACACTTTCTGTTAGCTGAATCTTTATTGTTGTCCAGGTCACAAAGAACTATGGGTCACCATTTCCTTAACCCGTTCGTTTACCCAACCCATTTTTGCAGTGACAGAAGCAGAAGCTGCTGCGTGTAATACTAGAGTAGTAAGTTGAATGACATTATTTAGACCTACTACTCCCTCTTCTGTATTCAACTATGTTTTGGAAATATCTATTAATAACTAAGCTTTATTCAGCTGATTTTCATTCACGCATATTTAAGCGGACCTTTACTGGCGTTCTAATATATTTTCATCGTTAAGTATATGTGAGTAGCTAACACCGTTTAAGCAATCTATACTGACAAAGAAACGAACTTTATCGCTTAAAACCAAAGTATTACATAAAAAATATATATAAATTGCAATATAATATAAAGGGAAAAACGGTGCAATTCGAAATTTAATTTAAATTTTCAACACCGACCACAAATGGGAGCGTTATACCCGCGATATCCGCCACAGTCGAGTGGTCGCGTACAAATAAACGCTTGATTTGATCCGCGCCGCTTTGCGGATCGACAACACGCGTAAGGGGGTGTGGGGGAGGAGAGTGGGAGGGAGGGGCTTCGGAAAAAGTCAAATGAATGGATCCAACGGATTGCGGCCGATTTAACACCGATAGAGGTTAATGAAGCGAGAGTTGGCCTGTGATCAGATTTAAAAAGTTGCGGCCAACGTGACGCGGATCGGAATGCAATCAATGACCACTATTGGCCAATCGGAAAACGTAAATGTAGCTTTTGTTGCCATACCAATTTAACAAAAAACTATATTTAATACAATTCCAGCAGATTCTTAAGGGTGCTCATAGTTTGATAACATTATTAATAATTTGGCTGGCTCATAGTTGCGTTTTCTCTTTTTCCCGGTTATTTATTAAGTTTTACGGAACTAAAGCTTAACCTGTCTCCTTAGCATTTTGTATCATTTATGTCGTTGTTGTGCGACAAGGTAAAAAACAAACAAAACATCATGGTAATATTTCTCACTATAACAAAATTAAAGAATTTGACAATTGCAGAATTCTATTATCCCATTCCATCAAATTATTAAAATAAATAAAACAATGAAAAATAAAATACAAATAAAACCCTATTAATTAAATGAAAGAAAAGAAAACGAATTATTCCAACTATAAGCGAAAAAGATTTTTTTTTTCATATCAGACGGTGGCAGGCGAACTGGCAGTTCACCTGATGGCAAATAGTTACCACCTATAAGGTTGCAAATGCGCCACCGTATAATAAAGAGAATTTAATAAAGACCGGACTAAGGCCGCTCATATTATAAATGTAGTCCTCACTCACCAGACGAAACGCAGAAGTATAGGACTTCCACTTTACCACCAGTCTTCTGGAAGGCCACGAAATTACAGGGCGGACCTGCCCATTTGTGCAACAGCGAAGACTGTTGCGTGGCCTCACCATCATAAAATTTGATAAAATTGTCACGTAAACTAATTTTGACAAATATTTGGCGAATTTCCAGGAGTAGAGTTGTTAGGACATGGTTAGGACTGTATTTTTGTGACGTGTAGTTTTCTGTTAGCCCGATGGCTTTGACAGCTTCGGCGGAAGAGGTCCGCGGGCAGACGACCCGCGGACTCGGGAGAACAACGTAGCTGGTGCACGACGACGACGCGAAGATGCCATCCACTCCGCTGCACTCTGCTGCACTCCGCAACACCCTGATAACGAAAGATGGACAATCGACTACGAGGGGGAGAGGGATGGATGCAACTGTTAACATCTTATTGAACGTCAAAAAAAACTACCACCGGTTAACTAAACACGTCTAGTTACGTGAACCGGTAGTTTGTTGACATCCAGAGAAGAACCTACAAGAAATTCTGCGATCTTGTTATCTTAAAGTAACAGCCTATACATGTCCCACTGCTGGGCAAAGGCCTCCTCTATATAGAGGGTATCAGGGCATAGTCCACCACGCGGCCCCACTGCGGATTGGCGGACTTGTTATCTTATTACTGTTATTTTTTTTTAATTATAAAAGCTTACAAAATTATTTAAATCTAAAATCAACTTCGTATTGTCCGTCTTGTGCGTAACCAACGATTGTTGATGTAGTCTTGTTTATAAAGAGAATGGCTCTTCTTAATTACGCACCGTTTAAAATTGATTAGAAAAGCTGCATTAACCGAAAATTTTAAATATACCGTGAACACCAGAACGTTTCGCGATTATGCAGATTACTAGATTTTAATAAACGAGATCTAAATCTTAATCATTTTGTTACAACTGTTACTGATCATTTGAATTGTCAAAAGGATGATTAAATGAGTAAAAGTTGACCAGAACGATCAGAATGATCAATTCAAATAGTTTAACCATCCTTTTGGCAACTGACTGCTTATTATGTGACTGCTTATATGCTGAGCTGATTAGTTAATTTCTACGATGATCAGTGTTTCAGAAACTGGGCGTTATGAGACTATGAATTAGATATTTTGAAACATGGTATTTTCGAGTGTACTGTACCATTATCACAGGCCTCAGAAACCGACAGAGAAGAGATTATGCAAAACTATGTTAAATACTAATCTACTTACGAGGTTAGAATCCATTATAGGGTAAATAGTGCACGTTTGTACTTTATTCTGTCACCTATAGATGTGCACACTTTTTAGACAACATATCATCCATTTATTATTATTGAGCTAGGGCGCTTACCATCAACAGCTGCATCGCCACTTACCATCAGGTGGGATGGCAGTCAAAAATGTTGAATTAAAAAAAATATTTTGAGAAGATACTACATCGCGAACTGATCTTAGGTATAAATGAAGATATTTATCAAATTCTAACAAGCTACGGGTTGCAAGATTAGAGTAAAAGTTTTTATCCTAACCTTCTCTTAGTTATAACACTTCGACATATACACTTTACTACACTTTTACTCTTCCTTTTTTTTTATGCGAAAAGCTGTCAAACGAGCAGACGGTTCACCTGATGTTAAATGAATACCGCCGCCCATGGACATCTGCTACACCGCGTTACAGATGCGTTGACAACCTTTTGAAAATTGGGCTCCGGCTACCTCACTCACCAGACGAAACGCGAAAGTATTTGTCATACTTCCACTTTACGCTGGTCTTCTTTGAGGTCGTGGTACTCATTCGGGCCTGCCCATTCGTGCAACAGCCGAGGCTGCTGCGTGGCCCTACCACCGTTAAATCCTTTTGATCACTACTTCTTCTTCTTCTTTACACTTTGAGACTCACCACTCAATTACCTTCTAACGCATAATCTCACTTTTACAAAATAGCTTAATACAGCAGAAAAATTGTTAGTAATCTGAATGCAAATTTATATTGCTGATATTAAACAGTTTTTTTAGTATTGTAGTATATATTCAGTTTTAGTTTCATAATAAAAAAGTAATTAGTTGAGAGCACTTTAATGTTTTAGAACCTTGGCAGGAAGTTGTATAAAATCGTATCCGGTCTCCTTTGTAAATTAAACATGAACAACTAACAACATTTCATTGAACTTTGATATTGCTATTTGAAACCAATAGGCGATAACCTTGTACAGTATTTATATATTTAAATAAAATATATCAAAAAGTGTTTTTAATAAAAAAAAATACTGGCTTTAAAATAAGCACTAAAAAGTTTAAAATAATACTAGGTCATTAGACTTATTATTATTTTATCAACCATATCTTGAAAATCTAACCTGTATAACCTATTCTACCTAACATCTAACAAAATTTAACAACTTTTAGATTCGATGTCAAATCAAGTATATCGAATCCGGGCATAAAATAATTCTCCTAACTTTGTTACGCTAGGTCGATTAGATACATGCTGGCCGTGATAGCTCAGTATCCGGGCGCTCGCGTTTAATTCAATGCATTCGAGCTATCTGAGTTCGATCCCGGTGCATATGTACACGGTACATATATAAAATAACATTTACAATTTTTGTCGGTCTGTCTGTCCGTTTGTTCCGGCTAATCTCTAAAACGGCTGAACTGATTTGGACGGGACTTTCACAGATAGCTGATGTAATAACGAGTAACTTAGGCTACTTTTTTCTAGAATATTTTTTATTTTAAACGCGGACGAAGTAGCGGGCACAGCTAGTTAAAAATAAAAATGAATGCGATAAATCGCTAAAAGGCCAGCAACGCATTTGTAAGCCCTCTGGTGTTGCAGGTGTCCGTGGGCGGCGGTGATCTCTGACCATGTTTTCCGTTTGCCGCTTTTTTCACATAAAATATATATGTTTTTTTTATTTTTTTTTATTATTTAAAACGTTGCCCTTACTTTAGGATAACATGATCCTGTATTGTAATGACGTCTTACAAACATACATTTCACGCGGACAAACACCCAGATGCGAAACAACTATCTGTGGGTCACACAAATAGTTGCCCCGTGTGGGAATCGAACCCACGACCCTCGACGCCGAAGCCAACACCTTGGCAACTGCGCCACGGAGTCATCTGTCTGTCTCAAATAGTTTCATTTAGTAATGTGTAATCACGTAAACACAAGAAATTATTATTTTCAAGATTTGACCATATAAGTAACAATCACTGTGTATACATATTATTTTATTTAAAACCAAATCAGCACATTTTTGTATTAGATGAATTCCAAACTTCCGTTATACATATATGCCTGATGTGAGATAAGGAACTGTGACAGCGATGCCGAAGATGCGCTCCCTATACTATATTCCACAATAGCATACGTTGGAAACGCACATTGCATAATCAGGTCCTGAGCAGGAATTATTGCAGGCGGCTACACAATCGTAGCCAGAGTTACAATAGCTTGATGACGACTCTGTAAAGAAAGAAAATTGTCATGAAATGATCGATCACCTTTGCTTCATACTATTACCATGAGCGGCACAACTACTTTAACCTGTACCCCATGTAATGTGGCACTTCCTATGGCTAAACGGCTGAAGGGGACAAGACATCATCTTTACAAATACCAGACCACAGGGAGTTATGCTAACCGACGAATTGCGAAAGTAAAAATACATTTACAACGCTCTGGTCTTCTGTAAACCTCATCCATTCGACAGCAGCTTAGGCAGCCTCGCCTATACATTAAAAATACTTCAGAACCCGCCAGTCTATCTATATATGTCAGTTCAATCTAGTATGAAGGTCATCAAAGTTGAATTTGAAATTCAAATTACGACAGATTGCGTATCACAGCTTATGTGTGAAATATAATATATACATATTATGTACATCACTCATATGATTTCCGAACAATCCATCATGCATCATGCATATTCTCCATTAGAAGAAAAAACACTAGTACTATCAACATTTTATAATCAATGGTCTCTATGAACCGCATATTTTGGACATATATGAGAAATATGAGAAATATAACATATTGAAAAATATAATTGAAGGAAAAATAGAAGGAAAACGGGGAACAGGACGAAGACGAATAACATGGAGTGACAATTTGAAAAAATGGACAGACATCAAGGACGCCGTCAGTCTTTGTAGATTGGCGCAGAATAGAGAAGAGTTCCGTGTGGTGGTCGCCGACATCCGATAGGATAGGGCACCCCAGAAGAAGAAGGTCTCTACGAATTTGTTGACTTTTAGAGCTATGCGGATAAAGATAGAGACTACATCGTAATGTTAGGTATAATTAGACTCGAAAAGTGTAAAGAGTGAAGAATTACTAATAATTTTAGTTTTAATTATTGTTCTTATTAACTTGTAGCTTGTGTGCGATGTGCGCTAAAGTAAAATAGTTCTACTGTTGATATGAGAAGTATAATCAGAGAACAGAATAGGGTTCCCAATAGAAAAAGTAGTAAAATGTTTACTTTTCTTTTCAATCAGACTTCAATATTTTTTGTTGCTATTTAGAAATCCGCGGGCATGTGGTGATACGTGTTCTATTCGTTTTAATTTATAAATTATAAAAAATTAAATAAAACAAGATCAACATGTAGTATAGCATAAATTACTCACGTCTGATCGGTACCGGACCGCTTTGTTGCAATGAAACGGGGCGTCCACGGGTGCCAACCGCGGTAGCCACAGCGACCAGGGCCAAAAGTACTACGATGAATTTCATGTTTCTTCCTTCTGGAGTTGGAGTGAATACTCGATGCGTTACACCCACTCTATTTAAATAAGCCTGAGCGAAGAACTTAAACTCTGAATTAGCAACGCATCGTTAGAATTAGTAACGGCTAGTTATCAACCTATAAATTTAACCTGAATTGCTAGTAGCAATGCGATTCAGTCTATCAATTTCCCGGCCTCAAGCAATGATTTATTAACAGCACTATTTACGAAATTACGCGAATGCGAATCGTTAATGAATAGTTGTCACCATGGGCCGATAACGGCATCAGAAGACTATAAAAAATCAGGAAGAATGTGTGAATGTGTATATACAAAATTTTCAAGAGTAAAAAGAAATAATTCTCGATATGGTAAAAGGCTATCACGGTGTATTGACACAGTAAACCTTTAACGCCCGGTTTCTCTTGTATCTTGTATTAACTGATGTTTTTGCTTTCAGTCTCGAGACTATTAAAGCTTCATCTGACGCAGAACCGGTGGGCTAGCCAGAACCCACGGGTTTGGGCCCTCCGCTGTGGGTAGGGCCGCGCATGTGCTCATGCGTGCGTTTAACTACGACATGTCATCTAAGGGCCATCGAAGTTGCGGTGCGGACCGAGACCCCGATGGCCGTCGACTGTGTTTTTTGCTAATCGGTGGCTTCGGGCGGTGAGAACCGCCCTGGAACGCGGGTGTACCTTGTGTACGCGTTGTGTTGGTCTCGCCGTGCTCGGAGGCGAGGGCGAACTATTGTGTTTGTTGTTACACTAGCTGTGGGTGTAGTGTTATCCGGCGGGACCCCCGGCGGTGCGTCCGGCGTATCTAAGTCCCCTTCCTCGACCGGGTCGATGAGGAGCCCGGTTTCTGAAACACTGATCATAGTAGATGTCAACTAATCAGCTGTCAAATGGCTTTTCAAATGTCATTTGAGTGGCCAAAAGGATGGTTAAACTCATTGAATTGATAATTCTGATCATTAAGAAGATCATTCTGGTCAATTATGAGAGTTTAACCATCTTTTTAGCAACTAAAATGAAATGTGAAAAGCCATTTGACAGCTGATTAGTTGATCAGTGTTTCAGAAACCGGACGTAAGAGATTGCAATTGGTCTCCGTTTGACCTCACCAAACTAAACGCAAAATAACAATAACACGTATTTTACACCACGAATTTTTTACTCTATCGAAATTATGAGAATCTGTTAACTAACCCTATTTTAGTACAGTGGGTAAATAATAATACTACTGTCCGCACCATTGCCAACTTATATGAAATTGATTCGCCGTTTACTACAGCTCATTATAAATCTATTTCACAGTGGTTTGTGTTTATGGGTAATCCCTCATGGAATCAGAAAGGAAGGAGACACCTCCGTCCACCATATTATGAAAAGTATGTATAATTATCTGTTTTATTTAAATGTAATCGCTTGACCCATCCCCCTTACACTTCTGGTGCTGGTCTGATGAATGAGGCCACTGGGCCTACGTTATTATAAGGTGGCAACGCATCATCAACCTGTGAATGTTACAAATATCAATGGGCTGCGGCTATCACTTAACATCAGGTGAACCGCCAGCTCATTTGCCACCTTCTAACATAAAAATGAAAAGATAGCAAATGAGTATGCGAATCACCGTAAGAAGGGATTGGCATTAGGAGGGTGGTCAATCTATTAACTAACTCAATATATGAATAAATATATACGAACGGGCAAGTATATATATTTCATATTTACACCGGTCTTAAATGACGATACAGCTAAGATCACAATATAATAATGACATTAAAGAACGATACAGACTTAAATGAAGATACAGTAGAAACGGGTACATCGCCCTAGTATAGTGAAATTGAAACACCGATACAGAACGGAAAGACCGCATCGAAAGGAAATTAAATACTTTCGTGTGAAGCGAGGATAACAGCCGCATCCAATCGCAACTGTGCCGAGCTAGCGTTCTTTCGTTAATCAGATCCACATTATAAATACGGACTGTTCTCTACTAATATGCACATTCGGAGTTCGAGGAATAGTCGAAATGAAGTTCGTTATTGTACTTATCGCCGCCATCGCTATGGTGAATGCGGGTCACAAATTGCCACGTCCAGTGCCCCTGCACGCGGCCTCCTCCGGACCAGGTGAGGCTTGATAATTGATCGGGATTAAAGTCGTAGTGCTATTAGAATGTAACCCTCGCATATCGCCGGAAATTATTCATCATCAACGTCATCATTTCAACCCGTTTAAGTCCACTGCTGAACATAGGCCTCCCGCATAGACTGCCACGAAGTACGATCCTGAGCCACCTGCACCCATCGACTTCCCGCACATTTGCACATTATTACACCTAATCATTTCCAAGCATAATAGGCTGATGTTAATAGTTACCAAACTATTTACTGCTTTCCCTTACCGTATCTATGCGAAACTGGAAAGTTGAGAGATTATTATTTACATAAGCTTTCCTTTAGAATTTTGGATGTGTGGGATTCGATGCCATGGTCGTGGGTTCTATTTACCCACGAGACATGCTATGATATAAATACTTCGTAAACCGTGCTGATGCCGTTAACAACATAATCCAAATACCGTTCAAAGTAAGTAGAAAAAAATACATAAATCAAATTTTGTTTGGATCTATTGAGATCTTTACTTTTATTTATACGTACATATATCAGGAGGAAGATGGGCAGGGACACTATCTGAAATAACCATCTCTTTTCAAATCATAGCAATACAATATTGTAAATTAAAAATTTCCTCTCACTTCAAAAATATGGTGTTACCGTAAAGTTTCAGGTGTTGCAGACACGGCCTGCACTGTTGACTACGACTGCACAATCCCTTGCTCCCAGGGCTGCCTGGGAACGGATATGGTTATTTGTTACGCGGGGCAATGTTTTTGCTCGATTTAAGCAGCTTCGGATATAAACAAATCCACCATATGTACGCCATCATGTAGAACTCCATTTGAAATAAAAGTTTATTAGTATTCTTCGTTTTATTTTGGTAGGATATAATAATGGCGATGAGAAGGAAAGCGTGATTCCCTTCAAATGTTTTATTTTTGTTTTTTGATGCACATTTTTTATAACCCGATTGCCACGTTGCAAAATCGGAATGACTTAGAGTTTGTTAAATAAGTAATCCTCAAAATAATTTCCCACATTCGTTTCTATTTTCATGCCGGTTCTTCACAGCTCAGTGGCTTTTCTTTTCCGAGTGGTAGCGTTTTGACAATCAATAAGTAAGTGTAATGCTTCTACATTGAACAAAGATGTTTGAATTTGAATTTGATGTGAGAAAATGGCAAGCGAGCTAAGAGTTCACCTCACGTTGCACGTTGTTACGAATGTTGCAAACCACGCCCTCACAAAAGACATCTAACGAAACTGCCCATTCGTGCAACACTGAAGACTAATGCGCGGAACAAATCGTGGTAAAGAACAGTGAAATCACAGTGAAAATCTTCTTATTAATGTCGTATAAAATAGCAGAGATGGCATGACTTCCATGTACTCCTTTGCCATCCCTATTACTAAGACTCCGCTGTCTGTCTGTCCGTCTGTCACCAGGCTGTATCTCATGAACTGTGATAGTAAGACAGTTGAAATTTTTACAGATGCAGTATTTCTGTAGCCGCTATATCAACAAATACTAAACAATAAAATTTGTAGAAAAAGTACGAAAGAATTGTCGCTTCGTGGGAATCGAACCCACGTCTTCGGCATTCGGCTGATTGCCACATAGACGAAAATCTTAACGTCTTTTATCTACAATGTGTTTTAGTATTTGAATAAAACTGAATACTAAAAAACGGAATTAAAAAAATATTTAAGTGAGTAAATATTTAAATTTTTATAGATAGTGGTACGGAACCATTCGTGCGCGTGTCCGACTCGTTTTTTATTTTTAATGAAAGGAGCTTTGGTGTTTTGGTGTATTTTAAGGAAAGGTTGAAAATAAATTGGTTTTGTTTGTTTCATATTAGTATTTTAGAGCCGTGATAGCTCAGTGTCCGGGCGCTCGCCTTTAATTCAATATACTCGAGCAACCTGAGTTCGATCCCCGGTGCCGGCACCAATGAAGTTTTTAACTTTAAGTGCTGACTTATCACGTGCTCCGCGGTGAAGGAAAACATCGTGAGGAAACCTGCATATTTTCGAAATAATAACAAAAAAAATATATTTCGAAGATATGTGAAGTCCGCCAACCCGCAGTGGGGCCGCGTGGTGGACTATGCCCTGATACCCTCTCTATAGAGGAGGCCTTTGCCCAGCAGTGGGACATGTATAGGCTGTTACTTTACTCGTACTTGTAACAATTATTAAGTTATCGTACACTTATCGTCTTTTGTAATATGCTGTAACTACCTTTAAATGGAAACATGTAAATATTAGTTCCTAAGCCTATTGTCACATTTTTTTTTTCAAAACAAAATATTATTCCGTTGGTGGTTCTATCAAAAAATAAAAAAATAAAATAAATTAAAGACACCAATTAATATTCGTAAGAAGGTGTATTGAACTAAATTCATGTTGTTATATAACCAGTAATCAGTACATTTACTCATAATTATTAGCTTTTAATGTCAAAAAACAACCTATATGTAATAATTGAATACGATTCATGATAAAAGGTTTGCAAATAAGCGATTGCAGATTTCAGTTATATATGTTTCTCACTCCATGACTCAGGCCGAAAAGGATCAGACTTCCAGGAGCGTGGAATTTTCAAGTTGTCAGAGAGATGGCAGAAGGTCATCGAATACAATGAAAAATACATTAAAGATTAAACTTCATTTTAAGTAAAAAAATCTTTTATTTCTTTTAATAAATCCGCAATTAGTAAGTTAACCTAATATAGACACCTACACCTGATATCCTTGCATTATTATGATTACTTGATTTGTAAGGTTTGTTAGAAGAAAACTCTTTTTAACCGACTTGAAAAATGAAGGAGGTTTCTCAATTCGACCGTATATATTTTATTTTTTTATGTG